GTCAGACAGCTGGGGAAGAACTTGGCCTTGCTTGTGCAGAAGAGACACGAGGCAGTGGCTGCCACTGATTTCAGCTAGGGATGGAGTTTAGCGCCTCTTGCTGCTGTAATTCAGAGCATTTTAGGGGTTGGCATTATTAGTGTCAGGATAGTTTTGTGGTAAAGAGACTGATATTGGAATCAAGAAAACTGGGTTTGATCCTTGACTGATACAGGCTGTGTGGCCTGGGGCAAAGCTCTGTGCCTCAGATCCTTATCTATAAACAGGGTGGATACATTATCTGGTCTATTTAGATTAGAATCTCTTTGGAGCAGACACTGTCTCTTAATAGGTGCCAAGTGCCGTACATACACAATGGAGCCCTGATCTCAGTTAGGAACTCCAGGTGTTACTGCAAGAACAGTATTCACTTAGACTAGGGCTAGATTTAGCCCAGAGCATCAGCTGGTGGATTGAGAGGTTGTGACTTTGTACTTGGGACTAATAAATGTCTGACAGTCAGAGTGACTCAGCTGTTGATAGAAGTGAGAAATCCACCAAGGAAGGGGAGGCTCCTCAAACACTTTGTATTTCACAAGTCTTGTTAAAAATCAGTGATACATTGCATTCATGTAGTGCTTTTACTCCCGAAGGAGCCAGGGCCTTTAAAGACTTAAGCGGTTCCTATGGTCTGTCTCTCCATTTAAATGCTATATGGATAGTTACCAGATTGCCTTTTACCACCACTATACAATTCTTTTTTAGGAAAGTACAGCGAAGACTAGCTTCTCCATTTGAAACTACAAGGGGGATTTTAGGTAGGGAGATTGGTTAGGACAGCAGGGCCAGTGTCTATATTATTGTGAAGAGTTCCATGGGAACTTTAATGATTTAAGTGGGCAGGACATGGTGGAGCGCAGTCTCCTGGGTCCTCTTCCCATCTCTCCCACTGCAGCTAAAAGGGGCCACTGATTTTGAGTGCTTCAGTTTTTGATTGCTTAGTTTGAGACCTAGTGCCAGATTCTCAGCTGGCTTAGGTAAGTGTTACTCTGTTGAAGTCTACAGAATCTAAATGAGTCATCATGAAGACCCTGGTCCCCTGATGTCCAGAGGTTCTGAGCACCTGCAGCTCCAATTGAAATCAGCCGTAATTGTGGGTGCTCAGCCTCTCAAAAAAAAAATCAGACCTTCACTGGGGCCTCAGAAATTGACCCCCCCAAATCAGCAGCCTCCTCTGACAATTTGGCTGCACAGTTTTAATAGGGTACTTGGAAGGGATACAAGGTAGCATTTCCAGTAATAAAAAAAATCCAAGTGTTCCTGCTGGGCTGAATCGACAATCTGTTGGCAAACATCTGATTGCCTGAGCAGCTGTGATGGAGGGCACTGCCTTTGACAAGACCAAACTGTCAGCCCTCGATAAACAGGTCACAAAACATTTTGCTAATATGGAAGAGGATAAACGGGCTTGAATGGAGGCTCTGTTTCAGACAAACAGCCTGATATTAATCTAGTCAATAAAGATAAGAAGGGAGTCACTTGAGTTGCCAGCAGTAACTCAGACACATTTTGAGCAGCCCTCTTATTCTAACCAGTCCTTAGCTCCTAAGAAGAATTCAGTCTATTTAACCTTTGTATAAAGTTATCCAGCCACCACCAGCAACAGTGGAGAATAAGCAATAAGAACTCCGTACAAGCTTGTCTCTCTCACCACCAGAAATTGGTCCAATAAAAGATTACCTCCCCCACCTTGTATCTATAATAAGAGCTCTGGCTTTTAACAAGTCTGGAAGTGACTAAGGGTATGTCTACACTGCAGTCACAAGGTGTAGCTGCAGCTCATGTATAAATCTAGCGAGCGGTGTCGTTTGTCTACACAAACTGCAGCCATACCCCTGACTGCAGTGTAGGCATACCCTAAAACTGCTCCACTCCTGCCACATCAATGAGTAAAGGGATGCCTATGGAGCTGCTGTCCTATTGGCCAGATTGGAGCCCACCTCTCTCTAGCAGAACGGTGCAGAGGGAGTGGGTCAGTGTAATGGCTTCTCTTTGTTGTGGCTTCTGTGCTCATACAGTTCTTGTGTCATGCTGGTTTTACACTGATGCAAGTCTGTTGGAGTCACTAGAGTCCCTCACTCACACCAGTGAGGATCAGGAGAGTGGAATCAGGTCTAGGGGCTTCAAAAGCATCAGGCTCTTGGGTGTGTGGGGTTGTGTTGCAAGGCCAAGGAAGGCTTTTTGCTCCCTTCACCCACAGTCAGACTCCCATTTTAAGGTCAGAAGGGACAATTATGATCTAGTCTGACCTCCTGCACAATGCAAGCCACAGAATCTCACCCACCCACTCCTGTATCAAATCTGTGTCTGAGCCATTGAAGTCCTCAAATCATGGTTTAAAGACTTCAAGGCACAGAGAATCTTCCAGCAGTGACCCATACCCCACGCTGCAGAGGAAGGCGAAACCCCCGCAGGGCCTCTGCCAATCTTCCCTGGAGGAAAATTCCCAACCCCAAATATGGCACCAGCCAGCACCCAGGAAAGAATTATCTGTAGTAACTCAGATCCCCCCCCATTTAACATCCCATCACAGGCCACTGGGCATATTTACCGCTAGTAGTCAAAGATGAATTAATTGCCAAAATAAGGCTATCCCATCATACCATCCCCTCCATAAACTTATCAGTCATGTTCTTATATGAAATTTCATGCAGCTCAGAGAAACAAGTTAAGAGCTAACAGATTTATGCAGGATTGTGACAAGAACTGACTCAACAGGCCAAATTTCATAGCATATTAGGGTTGGAAGAGACCTCAGGAGGTCATCTACTCCAATCCCCTGCTCAAAGCAGGACCAACACCAACTAAATCATCCCAGCCAAGGCTTTGTCAAGCCAGGCCTTAAAAACCTCCAAGGATAGAGATTCCACCACCTCCCTAGGTAACCCATTCCAGTGCTTCACCCCCCTCCTAGTGAAACAGTGTTTCCTAATATCCAACCTAGACCTCCCCCACTGCAACTTGAGACCATTGCTCCTTGTTCTGTCAACTGCCACCACTGAGAACAGCCAAGCTCCATCCTCTTTGGAACCCCCCTTCAGGTAGTTGAAGGCTGCTATCAAATCCCCCCTCACTTCCCAAAGGCAGAGACTCATAATAGATCTGCACATAACAGCACCCCGGTTGTGCATGGACATTAGGTAACTGGAGTGCAAAAGGCTAATTTAAAACCCTCCTTTGCCATGATGTCTACAAAAAAGCTCGACAGTGATGAAAAAGAGTGGACAATGGCAGCTTGTATGCTGATGCCACTGCCTCTCATGTTGTTCAGTATGGTCACTGTTCTCTTGTTCCCCTTGTCTGTCTATAGTCACCCAGTCTTTTGTCTTCTAGACAGTGTGATCCTTAGGGTAGGGCCTGTCTTCATTCTGTGTTTGTACAGCACCTACCACAGTTGGGTCCTTGTCTATGATGGGGCTCCTAGGTGCTATTGCAATACAAATAATCAATAGTTGTTGGTTTGTATGTGATTGAAGTACGCAGAGGGAAAAGTAGATTTGCACGGGGTTGAGACCACCTGAGACCTCACTCCCCAGCCCCCGAGAGCCCTACAAGTCAGTCTGCCAACCAATAATGGCACCTTATTCAAGGAAAGAAGAGTAGAAAGCCTTTGAATCCACAGGGATCTCCCTATGCAGATGTAACCTACCTGGGAAGTGCTTGGATTTGTAGTGATAGGTGCTATAGAAGCTCCTAAAGCAGACAGGATGGGACAGTGCCTTTATAAGTCAGTCTGGCTACTGTGCCCCAGGAAAGTGTTCTGGTAACACCTGCCAGCTGGTGCTTTCAAGAGGCAGAAAAATAGCATGCCCTTCTAAAATATCACATACCAGGCACAAGCTCCAGCCCCCTGTAAGGTTTAAGAGGACGATGAGCCCAATCATTCTCACTTGAATTCAAGCACTGAAAGCAGGGGAACAAACCTCTGAATAATAGAGCAGCTGATTGGCATGGAGGGATTTGAATTTTGTTCTGAATGAGCAACTGACGCTCCAGTCCTCCTAAGGGTTATAGTTCTAACCACGCCAAGGCATTGATCTGTGGTGAGACAAGCTCCCTAGGGTGAAGAGTTTCATTTACAGGTTGTCTTTAAACAGCAGGTACAACTGAGTTGATTGTGATCTTATAGTAACATAAGCCCTGATCCTTTTATAGAGTTTCATTGAGTTTAAAGCCAAAAGGGACTATTAGATCATCTAGTCTGACCTCCTGTATGTCACAGACCATTACATTTTATCCACATGGCTCTAGTAAGCCAAGTGACTTCAGGCAGATTGAAGCATTTCAGTCCTTAGGAGACTAAACTGTGTGCCACAGGCAGAGACCCAGGCACACTCCACGCCTGAGAACCCTGCAACACAGAGAACTGATTAGGTGAGACACACACAGATAATCCCCAAAGCAAGACACGCTCCATAGGAAGGTAAAACCACCAAGGTCTCCACCAAACTGACCTGAGGGAAAATTCCTTCCCATCTCCAAATCTGACACTCAGTAAGACCCTGTACACATGAGCAAGACACTGAGCAAGCACCTAGAGAGACAGGCTTCACTGCACCACCTCAGAGCACCGTTACACCCTATCCAGTGTCCCATCTCCAGGTGGGGAGAATCAGATGTTTCAAAGAAAGGCAAATGACCCAAAATACATCTAGCCAATTATGCATCTGGGAAAATTTCCTTCCTTTCACCCCAGCAGGCAACCAGATGAAGCAGGAAGTTTAGTTAGTCATTGTTTTAACAGAAAGCTACAAGTTAAACAAGCACACCAAGGGCAATCCTATTCTCCCCAAGGCCCAGGAAGGAAGGAGGTTGGGGGGTGAAAAAGGGGATTCAGGGATTCACAGATGTAGCCAGCTGCTTCAGGCAGCTTCTCCCAGCCAACCCCTTTAAACTTCACTCATACAACTTCACCCAGGCTAGCAAAGCCTTTCAAAAAGGGACAGAATACAAAAACAAACCTTCATCACAAAAATCCTTTCCTCCCACACATCTCTACTGGGGTGCACTCTTCCAGACACTCTGTCTCTTGGAGGGAAGGTCACACCACCCTAGTGCTCCTACCACTAGGCTAAGAAATAAAAACAGACACCACTCCTTAGCCTCCAACTCTCTCTTATCTTATACGGGCAGGTTATATACTGGCCTCTTTCCCAGCCCTTATCCTGATTGGCTGGGAGAGAGGGGAGTCTTACCCCCCCTTATACTACAAGGCTCCTGACCCCAGATCCTTAAAGGAACAGTAAGCTATGTTTTCCCTGGCACTAATGATCACCCCGGGACCACTCCCTCTCTCCAAGAAACTGCCTCTGCCATTTCCTATGATCTTGTCTGCTCCAGAATTCCTGGAACAGGGTAGCTTGGCCTGCCAGACTTCCCCCATTGGCCTTAAAGGGACAATATACCCATTACACAAGGCCATAAGGTTCACCACAACCATCCAGCCCATTTCCCCTCACTGCCCCCCTCATACCAGGCCATGAAATTTCTCCCAGAAGCTGGATTGAAACATAAATTTTAGAAATATCTTGCCCTGGAGGGAGGCTGAGCATTAAAGCCCACAGGGGTTGTGGGTGCAACTGGTTTTGTGCTAATATGTCTTTCATGTAGTACTTGTTGAATCTTGAAATATTTGGAGGTTCAGTAGCAGAGTAGTAACCAAACCAAGGCACTCAAAATCAGAAGCTGCTATGTAAAGCTTGGGACTTAACTTTTCTGTACCTCAGTTTCACTCTCTGTAAAATGTCTGATTTTCATTTGCCTGAAGTCACATGAGTCAGTGGCAGAACCTGGAATAGAAACCAGAAGTCCTGAATCACTTTCCCCTTGTCTCTCTCTCCATAGACCCCCAAAGTCCTCCCAGAGCTGAGGGCAGAACCCAGAACCCATGCCCACCAGTCTAACCATTAACCCACTTCCTCCCAAAGGTTCAGATACTTCTCTGGAATCAATTTGGTCTGAAATGGGGCTAGGGATCTGGGGAGTGTAACCCATTGGTGAGTGTGTGTCATAGGGCCCCCCTCTGGGCCTGATCCCAAGAGTCTGTTAGGGTACATCTACACAGCCCACAGCAGCAAGTCTCAGAGCATGGGTCGGCAGACAAGGGCTTACAGGGTTCACACTATGGTGCTAAAAATAGCTGTGTAGACCTTCGGGCTCCGAAGCCCACCCCTCTCCCCAGGCTTCAAAGCCTGAACTCCAGCCCAAGTCTGAACATCTAGACAGGTATTTTCAGTGCAATGGCAGGAACCCCAGGAGGCTGAATCTGTCATCCTGGGCTCTGAGACTTGCTAGCATGGGCTACTGTTTGCTGTGTAGACATGCCCAGGCTTGGTTCTTCACCTCAAGCAACTTCTTCTCTTAGCTCTGGAGGTTGCTGGTTCAATCCCTCTACATATTGTCCAAGATAGCAGCCATCATCCAGGACTTACTGAGAGGAAGGCATCTTTCTGTCTGTGACTGTAGGAGCAGTAATATCAGCACAACTACTATTTGTTTCAGAAGATTAATGCAGGCCTTGTTATGTTACCACTATCTCTAGTCGTCGGCCTTTAAATTCTAGGGTGAGGCATTGTCCCGGGGGAAAGTGTTGGAAGCTGGAATGCCAGGGCCTATTCTGCACTTGTCCTGATGATAGAAGACTCTGGCCATGAGGGCCCTTCATCTGATTTTTCACAACAATTAAATAATTACTTCAGAAGGGCTCATCCTGAGAAGAAGTACAGCTGGCACCGTATTCACATTTATTTAAATTAATATTTTTGAGAAAAAAAAACACAAATGTCATCGAAGATTTCTCTGCCAGTCATTCCCTGGGAAGCATCCTTTGCAAGACCAAAATGGCCTCATTTATCTCTGCTGAAAGGGGAGCTGGATGCAAAATTGGATACTTTACAACAGGAGATCTAACAACGAGGGAATTTATACGCGTGCAACGATTAGGCTATTTTTCACTCCAGGTGATGCGAGAATACAGTTCTATTTCAGATAAGGCTGCAGAAGAGACAGGCAGGCTCGGGGAAGTGATCAGAATTTTCAACCACAGCTGGGATGTGCTTTTAGAACACAGTGTGGCCCTTTGCTTTAGGAGTTGTCATTCAAATGGGTCTAGCAGGGCTCATTTTTTTAAAAAAAAGCTCCTTTCAGCATCTAAACATTTTCCACAAGAACTTAACAGCTAGCAGCTCCCAATGTCCATTTTTAGAGGCGCTAAGGGTCAGATCTGCCAAGTGTCCCTCACTCACAGCCGGGACCAGATTTTCAACAGGGCTCAGCTCCCATTGAGGCATCCAAACAGCAACCAGATTTTTAAAAGCAACTCAGCACCCTGCTGCTCCCTCCCAGTTTGATCCTGATGGCAGGATTTCCCAAAGAGCACAGCACCCAACATGCATGCGCGGTGCTGATCTCTTCTGAGAATTGTGGCCTTCATTCATCAAACCCAGTGTCCCGCCCACTGGCTGTAGTCAAAACCTAGCCTCAGGGTGTGTCTGCACCGCAATCAGAGGTATGACTGCAGCCGGGTAGACAGTCCCAACCCAGCTGTGATCTAGATCATGACTCGCTTTAGTAACTATAGTAGCAGGGAAGCCCCAGCTAATGTGACTAGATGTCCCAGTATTAGGGGCTTTGGTTTATATAGGCAACCTCTTACCACCAGCCACCCCTGTCCCAATTTTTAACACTTGCTATGTGGTCACCCTAGCCCCAGCAGCATGGGCTCCCGCTGTTCAAGTCTGTACCTAGGGTCCCGGACAGGCGTGGCTAGCTTGTGCAGCCTCCTGATCTAGCAAGCTAGATCACAGCAAGCTCGGTATGTCTACATGTGCTGCAATCTTCTGATTGCAGCATTGACTTACCCTTAGAGGATGGCAACCTCCCTTTTCCCACGTAATCCATCCTGCTCAGCTGTATGTTGGATGAGTGGGGAAAATTCCTTTCTAGTCATGGGTAAGCATTTTACACTCAGGAGTATGAGATTTCATTCCCCTCATCACAGCCTTAGCTTCGCGGTGACAAATAGTATAGCAGATTGCTCATGGCTCTTCTTTGTGTGTGCAAGGGTACAAAGACCCCCACTCACCTGGTGGTGCAGATGGGCACAGCTCATAGACTCATAGACTCTATGGCCAGAAAGAACAATTGTGATAATCTAGTCTGTCCTGTGCACTGCAGGCCACAGAACCTCACCCACCCACTCCTGTAATAGGCCCATAACCTCTGGCTGCATTACTGATGTCCTCAAATCTTGATTTAAAGACTTCAAGTTACAGAGAATCCACCACTGACTCTAGTTCAAACCAGCAAGTGACCCGTGCCCCATGCTGCAAGGGAAGGCAAAACACTCCAGGGTCTCTGCCATTCTGACCGAGGGGAAAATTCCTTCCCAATCCCAACTATGATGATCAGTTAGATCCTGAGCATGTGCGTGAGACCCACCAGCCAGACACCTGGGAAAGAATTCTCTGGAGTAACTCAGAGCCCTCCCCATTTAATGTCCCATCACCAGCCATTGGAGTTATTTGCTAATAGCAGTTGCGGATCAGCCATATGCCATTGTAAGGAATCTCATCAGACTATCCCCTCCATAAACTTATCAAACTCAGTCTTAAAACAAGTTAGGTTTTTTGCCCCCGCTATTCTTCTTGGAAGGCTGTTCCAGAACTTCACTCCTCTCATGGTTAGAAACCTTCATCTAATTTCAAGACTAAACTTCTTGATGGCTAATTATATCCATTTGTTCTTGTGCCAACATAGGCCCTTAACTTAAATAACTTCTCTCCATTCCTGGTGAGTATCCCTCTGATGTATTTATAAAGAACAATCATATCTCCCCTCATCCTTCATTTTGTTAGGCTAAACAAGCCAAGCTCCTTAAATGTCCTCTTGTAAAGTAGGTCCTCCATTCTTCTGATCATCCTAGTAGCCCTTCTCTGCACCTGTTCCAGTTTGAATTCATCTTTCCTAAACATAGGAGACCAGAATTGCACACAGTATTCCAGATGAGGTCTCACCAGTGCCTTGTATAATGGCACTAACACTTTCCTATCTCTACTGGAAATACCTCGCCTGATGCATCCTAGGACTGCATTAGCCTTTTTCACAGCTGCATCACATTGATGGTTCATAATTATCCTGTGATCAACCCAGGTCTTTCTCCACTTCTGTCACTTCCTACTGATACATCCCTAGTTTATAGTAAAAATTCTTGTTGTTAGTTCTTAAGTGCATGACTTTGCACTATTAAATTTCATCCCATTTCCATTACTCCAGTTTTCAAGGTTGTTCAAATCTTCTCAAATGATATTCTGGTCCTCCTCCCTGTTGGCAATACCTCCCACCTTCGTGTTAGCTGCAAATTTTATTAGCGCACTCCCACTTTTTGTGCCAGAGTCATTAATAAAAATATTGAAGACTTATCCTTGAGGAACTCCACTAGTAACCTCCCTCCAGCCTGACAGTTCACCTTTCAACATGACCCAGCATAGTCTCCCCTTTAACCAGTTCCTTACCCACCTTTGGATGCTCATATTAATCCCTGCCTTCTCCAGTTTAACTGATAATTTCCCATGTGGAACTGTATCAAATGCGTTACTGAAATCCAGGTAGATTGGATCTACTGCATTTCTACTATGTAGCAGCCCCTATGATCCAAGAGGCATACAGATTTCCCCCTGTACATACTCCTTGGGCCACAAGACATCTCCCGGAGGGGCAGGAAGGAGGCAATAAATAAACCTGAGGATAATCTGTGAGGAGAAAGAGAGGATTCATTCACTGAATACAAAAATATTTTCAATGTAAACTCTCTCAAAGCTTAGAGATGCCCAGATCTAGAGCGGTTTATTTGATCTATCATAGCCACAGGAGGCTAATCATAAAGTTTCCTCAGAGTTTCAGGGATGTGCAGATCTGGGATTTTACGTTGACACATTATTGATAGCAGGGCTAGTCACAGCATCTGGATTGGGATCAGAATTTTCTCAGAGTTTCAGGGGTGTTCAGTGCTGGCAGGAGGGGGGAGGGGGATGAGACAGGTCAACTGAGTCTCATCTCTAATCATTAATGGAGTTAGTAATCAACCTTGTT